GAATCCCCACATGGGTACAATGTGTGAAGACCATTTCTGGTGTCTCCCACCATGATGTAGCTGGAATATTGCTAAAAGCGGCGTAAAACCAAACTCAGTCAGTCAGTCAGTCTTGGTTGTGGCTGATTGTGAACTATGGTTGACGAACTATGCATGTAAACTGATAGAGAAATGTACATTACACTTGGTAATGTACATTTCACCACAGTATCCAGTTTTTCATGGACTTTTAAAGAAAACATCCTTTTCATAATCTTTAATATTATTAAATGCTTTTGACGTTTAACTAGTATGCCGAAATGAATTGATCAGATGTGTTCATGCATTATCATTTTACGTCTGGAATTCAAATGAACACAATTTTATTGAAAGCTTTTGATTTTTAGGCTATTTGAATTTTGGAAATCGTTTACCTTAGCTACTGATACTTGCATAATTGTACCATGTTGTTGGCGTGATTGTTTGTATGTAGCATATAAATGTAACTCTAGATACCTCGAGTATATTTGGGGTAAAACATGAGTATACATGTAGATGGAGAGCATAATGAAGTGGAAATATCCTTTTTGGGAGAAGTGAGTTAGTGAGTTGGAGTTTACCCCGCATTTTGCAGTATTCAAGCAATATCAAGTGGGGGACACCAGAAAAGAGCTTTGCACATTGTGCCCATGTTGGACCTACGGCGTGACAAGCGAACGTTTTATCCACTGGGCTACCCAACCGTCCCTCTTTGGAGAGTAAAAAGCAGATGTTTCTGTGGCCTAAACGTGATGATGTCACATGGCTTCTGATGTCTTGTGCAAGATAAGTTCCTGTAGTCAAATTTCAAAGAATGCTGAAACTGGATGCTGTTGAAAAGCAGAGAGTAGTTAAATCTTTCAAATAATTGAAAGTCTGTTTGCTTTTTTCTAAGTCAAACCTTACTGATGATATGGAGTATAACAATTCATAAAGCCATAGTCAGATTTTAAAATGTGCGATACGAATGAGAGTCAAGGTAGGATAATGTAGTGTCAAACATGGATGTGAGAAATGTAAGTTATGAATTCACTGATTTGAACATATTATTAAGGTTGCTTGAAACGATTTATGTCGCTTTTCCCTCATCTTAATTTGTTGAAGTGAAATAGGTAGTATTTGTCAGAAAATTCATAATGTCAGAACGGTGCTACAAAGGCAGTAATGTACGTTACATTTCTTGTATATATGTTCATGGAACCCATTTAAGAATCAAACACATTTGAATACTTCATTCTGATATTAATTGCGTAGATTATAGTTTAAGTTTCGACTTCTAAAAATGTTCTTGTCTCCAAACATTTGTATTTAGTGAATATCCCACAAACCAAATGATCTAGTTTTAAATTACACGGACATGTTTCTGGGCCAAAAAGATAAGTGACCTTTGAAGATCTCGACAGGAACTCGTCTTTGATATTCATGACAGTTATTTGGTATTTTATCACCAGAATATTCTCCACTACAGTAAGAAAGAAGAAAATTTATCTTTAATACCTCAATACTAATCAGTGTATTGGAGAATGGCTTTTACCATAGCGGACATTAATTAGCTACATTTTTGGAAACTCGAAGCATTACTTTGAGTCACAAAACAGTATGTTTAAAACAAAGATTACTTGACAACTCTTGTTGTATTTTATGTACCTAATACTCCACTCTGAAATAAACTTATAGTTAATGTATATACATTGACTAAATTTTTCGGCTTTTGATATGGTCAAATGTGCCCATTTGTTGAGAATGAGTGGTACATACTGGTAGTACTGACACTTGCACACTATCATCGACACATGTACACATGTACACAGTGATGCAACCCACCTTTATATTTACCTGAGTATATTGCTGTTATCAGAATTATAACATATACTTGTAGGACCTTGGTATGTAGGAAATGGGATCTGTATGTACAGTCAGTGTCTGAAAGTCAAGTATGCCCAGATCAAGGCCTGTTTGTTGGGTGTCCATATCCTCAGAAACAAGTTGACAAATGAACTGAAAACTTCACATGTGTGTTGCCATCAATGATGACACCCCTTTTAGTAGAGGTCTGGTCTGGGCCCCGTTCCTCAAAGCGATCATAGCGCTACGACTGCCGTAAGCCTATGTTAAAGTATGGGAGTTACGATCGTCTTTGGGTTACGATTGCTTTGAGGAACGGGGCCCTGGACTGTTGTCTGGTCGCCATGACATCTAAACTGAATTACCTATTCCTGGTTATTACTCAGTTGGTGTATTGTAAATGTAAGTAACTGTATTAAATATTGACGTACATGCTCTAGGGTGTTCACAATATTATAACCATGTTTAAACCATGAACAAAAAATAGTGAAGAAGTTTATAGAGTAGATATACAATATCTTAAATTGTAAAGAGGTAAAGGGAGGGAGGGTACTACTTGTACTCCATGACAAACTCTCCATGATAAATAGGTACTACTTTATGAGATAAAACTTGCAACACAACAAAAGGTCAGGCTGAGGCCATCTGGAAAAGTGGTATTGTGAATTTTTAGTTACTTTTGCACTTTGCTGATGAAGGTTTTCTACAAAGATCAAATACATTCATAAGTTCTTTTGGGTAAGATCAATAATGCCTAGAATGAGATTAGCTGAAGTTGACATTGTGTAATGATAGTGTGAAAGCTTATAACTGATATATGTGTTGTGACTGATAGGACAATCATGTTGACAGCTTTGATCCTCAACTCAGGCATTTATTTATGTGTTGTCTAATACTTTCGAATACCATGAAAATGTTTACTTTATAAAATATGTTCAAGACAGTTGAAGAGAAGCTGCATACCCTTTAAAGGGCAAGTGTACACAAAAATTAACCTTTTTGTCTTGCACTTTTTCATCATAAAAAGTGTTTATCAAGCAGTTTTATATCCAAACCCGTACATATATCAGAAGTAACTAATTTATTATTTGCGTTATATCAATTCATATTTTCAACATTTACCAAGAGTTCTACGTCCACAATAAACACACCATGGCTTATGTCCCTTGGAAATGACGTCATTGGTGCCCAAACGATAAACCAATGACGTCGTCAGACCTTATTAGACCCATTTCACGTGGCGCAGGTTTAGGTGTGGTTCTTGTGTCTCGATGCGCAGGCTACTGTTTTAATCCACCTGTTGCTTGGCCGTCAGCTGACTATGTGGTCAGTTCTACACTGTAATGACGTTGCAGTTTGAAAAAACGTATACATTGTACTAAAAGTGTTACCACGTAACCAAAATGTAAAACATATTTAACCTGAGTCGGTCGCCTTTCCAACAGTATTTTTCATGGAAACGTATATGCACTACATCGGTGAATGTGCCGGCATTCTACGTTTGTTACTAAAGTTCTTACATAAATCGTACGATATGTCCCTCCTCTTCCACCTTCACTTTGATATCGGTAGGACCTATCCAAATCACGCAGATAAATGCAATTTGTAGTTATGAACACTGTTTGAAATTCGTTTTTCTATGATATCATCCGCTCATTGTAGATAAAATTTAATGAAAATTACATGCATCGAAAATCTCACCAGTTTTGACACATTACTAAATCACCGTTCACTGCGTTTTGCGTAATTTATGGTATGTCTTAAGTCAAATGTCAAATTTTACTGGGAGAATTGAATTTAAAAGAAAAAGACGTGATCATTGTGATCAGCAGTAGTATTGTTGTTGTATGATCGAATCACCAATGCTCGTTCTGAACATTATCGATGAACCGAGAATCGCTGAGAATGTTTTGGAAAATACGCAAACGTCAAAGTGAATTTTCAGCTATATTACATAGTGTTTATAAAATCACGTCACGTGTATGTCGGTTATGTTTCGTCCATAAAATCAATTGTAAAAGTTCAACACCATCTTCCTTACATGAATCCCTGAATTCCTCATACAGTTCAAAATAAACTAACAAACGGACTCTGTCACCAATACGGAGTGTTTCAGTGAAATCTAACGAAATATATCGAGGATATAAGATGCCGCGCTGTGAAAGAATGCTTGTTTGAAATGTAGAAAGCCAATCTCAGATTTTACACTGTGTATCCGTTCGCCTACTTGCTGCATACAATTACTCATCAGGTTTAGAACATGCATGGGAAAGGTATCGTAGCAAGCGATAGTTAAATAAAACAGGTGTATCCCAATGATTTTCTAGATTCGTCACAACATATAATAGTTTTTGAAAGCATGACACAAACTCACGCACAACGATAGTGGTACTTCTCTTAATTTCTGACTATTTCCCTTGGTCACAATGAAAACAAAAAGAAAATAACAACCAGCAGACTGACAGAATTTTCGGACCACTTACATGTCACATTTATGCATATACCTTGCTTGAAACAACGAAAATTTCCTTCGAAAACTCCGGCGTACTCGTGTCAGTGAACACGCCATTTAGAAAAAGTCGCTTCCCGATAGTGATGTCATACGAACGTCAACATTGTTATACATATTTGGTATTTTCATTGAGGCGAGGTTATGAATGAAAATACACACGATCCTGCTGCTTACATTTTCTGTTCTTATGCTTCTTCGTATTTTCACAAACTTTTTTTCACGTGATTAATATCAGTAGTATTATCTTTTGATTTGGGACTAGACAGGAGACCAGTTTAAAATCAAGTGGCACCAATTACGTCATAATCAAAGGGCGGTAACTCTGGCCTGTTTAGCTCAGCAAACAAATACCTCATATTGGCATAACATTTCAGCACTTGTTTTGAGGGTTATACTTACATTGTAAGAAAAATGAGTGTATATTTTCAAACATTGGTATTAACTAATTAAAACAGTTCACTTTGATTCACATAAGAATAAATGTGATTTATTCGTGTACACTTCCCCTTTAAACTCTTAAATCTGATGCATTTGAGATTGAAGCACATTGTTTTACAGTTTCATTGATGGCCTTGTCCCAGCACCAGCAGCATCCTCGTACACTCACTGTTTTGCTTTCTTCCAGGACAAAAACAAGCAGCCTTGGTTACCCTTAGAAGCGGTGAATATTTTCTGCACCATTCTTTTGCATGAGCCCTTTCTTTTCCATGTGATTAATCTCCTTACTTTCTGTGGGGAGAGAGAAAACTGGACAGATTCAGCTGATTTCCTGTTTCTTGTTTTGGTATCAAGTTGTGGAAGCATCAAAAATAAACAAATTGCTGAACATTCCACTTATGAAATTATTTGAGTGATGTTTTCGAATGATGAGTTTCCTTAGAGCTGTTTTTTCCTTCTCTGTCACTAACAATTTCTCCTGACTCTGCAAGCTTCTAGAACAAGGCTCCTGTCAGCTTGAGTCTGTCATTTACCTACCTATAATAGGACAAGAGTATTTAGCATGTAGAAACTGGTGGAGGTGATTGCAGTCGCAGAAACTCATCACGTGGACAAGGAGCATGATGCCTTTTCAACATGCTGGATTCAGTGAACTGTGTTGGTACTGTAGGTTATCACACTAGTAGCCTGGGTCCCAATCCACAAAGTGTTCGTAACGTTACGATTTGGCGTAACTCTATAGTTTATCATAGACTTACGAATGTTGTAGAGCTACGAACGCTTTGTGGATTGGGACCCAGATCGGTTGAAGAACAAGTTTGGTCTGATCGGTTGAAAGTGCTCGAGTTCATTTCTTCCATCTTCTATCAGGAGAATGGGTGAAGATGTCGACATCATTGATGGGCGATCATAAGATGAAGCCCCCAACATTTATGACCTCATATCCTTGGTGAAGAGGGACGGAGATGGAATTGTCTGTTGATGTGGAGATGGCTCAACTTGATGTGATCAGTGGTAAACAAGGAGGAAGGAATACATCACAGTTCATCAATGTCTTCACATGACACAGGGATATATTTAGGAAATATAAAACGATGTATAATCAGACTAGATTATCTGACAAAACAGATTCCACTAGATGTAAAAATCAAAATAGCAGTGACATTTATCTTAATGGATGAATGAAGATTAGTGATGACACCTGGGAAACAAGGGTTAAAGGAGACATATTGAATATTAACTTCCTACTGTACTTTAAATGGTAAAATGAAATAAACTTATTTAGTCGCAAGAAATATTCATGTGATTTTTTTGTTAACTGAAAAGCACCAAACAACCATTCTATTCCCACAACCTGCCTGTATGCATATTGTAATCCCAGCCTTGGCAGAGCTAAGGCTGTGATGTCACAGTGGTGAGCCATCTGCCATTTCCCTGTGTTTACAGTGCATTCATCTACACAACAATGGAGTGATTTTGCCGTTATTGTAGGTGTGTAGTAGACATGAGATGGGATATTGTGTTCGTATTGGTGACCAGTCCATGTAAAAAAGGTATCAAGTGTCATTTCTTTAAATTCCAAGTGTAAGGACCGATTTATCGAGAGGACATTTTGGATGCAGCAATACTTTGTGTTCATTGCATTTTGAGATCCAGACAAACCATTCAAAACATGGTTATGTGAATGCAAGAGCAAGCTTGAAGAAAGATGCAGTGACAACCGAGTTTGAAAGAAGAAATTTGGCAAACATGACTTGGCAGTGGGAAAGCCTCTGTTTATAACACATGCTGGGTGAACTTGTCAACAATATGTAGGAAGTATTTGGGAAACTCAAGTCTTGAGAATCTTATGTGAGCCCAGTATCTATAAGCCCCAAAACAAATTCATTTCTCATTCAAATGTTAAAATGTATATAGTAAATACTCACAACCACGTACATTATATACTACTTTTCAAAGTTAAAGTCAGCACAAATCACATTAATAAAGATGTGTTAAACATTGATGATAATTTAAAAAAATATATATTGTTCAAGTTTTTACCTTGGTAACTACTTTTTATAGATAAATATCAAAGGGGATAATGGTGTTTGTCGGGTCTTTTGGATAAACATTGATTCATTGGATGTATGTTTATCATCATTTATTAATGATCAGTCAGAGGTGGATCTAGGGGTTTTCCAAGCAAAAAAACTGTTTTGGAGATAAACAATAAGAAAGCTGCATACTGTATCTCGCTGTGCATAAAGCTAAGTACAGATTCTAGTACTTTAGTTGGGTAGGGTTGGGTCCCCTCTGGGATTCAAACCCCCACGCTCAGACACCTAATTGCCTGCACACAAAGTCAGCCATCTTAACCCACTCAGCCACCATAGCTTCCACAAAAATGGAATTCGGACAACTGGTAGTCCAGACCATGGACTTTATGTGCTGGCGATTAGGTGCTTGACTCTGAGAGTGTGGGTTCGAATCCCAGATGGTACTCCACCCAACAAAAGTACTAAAATCTGTACTTTACTGAGAAAGTTTTATCCAGAATATAATGTGTTACATTTGACCACTTTTTAAATGGCATTGTGTTATTCATGAAATACACCTCTGAAGAAGACTCGCCATTGTTTCGTGAGTGATTATCTTTTTTGGAAGTAAGTAAACAAAAGTATAACATTGAGCCTAAATAGAATTTTTGAAAATGAAAATGAATGTTATTTGTTGCAAATTAGAAATTTGTGTTTCTCCCTACTGACATCTGATTGGTTGTCTTCACTCGATAGATCTACCTCACTTTCTGTGCTGCTGTCCAGACTATTTCAGCTAACTGTGGGCTAATATATATATGTGTGAATGTATGTATGGTCATTGTGTGAAAATTGTATAAACATGTTTGTGTTGGTTGTGGGACACAATGCAGCAGAACTGCATGTAAACAGACCACACAATTATGTGATGGTCCAGATATCCAGCTGCACAGTTGTAACTTACTTTGTTGTAACTAGACATGTTATGTTAGATCAAATTCTGTGTACAATTGCAGGAGATCTGTTTGTAAGTTATGAACATTTTTTAAGAAATATTTTCAAATAAACTCAGAAACTTGGAAATTTCAATCATGGAATATGAACATATTGTTTCAAATCTGTTGGGCATGCTCCCAGGTGTTGAGCATAGGAAGATAAACTGTATCTTGTGAACTCCCATACATGACTTAAGTTATTGTTATTCAGTCTATGCTTTCACTAAATAACACTCTTCACACGAAGAAAACTGTGCTGACGTCCACAAACTGTCTTTCTATTTGTCTTTACAATCCTACGTTATTTATAGTGAATTCCATTGTTTTCAGATTGATCCAGGTACTAATCAGTTGATTATACTTGAAGTACACTGTGGAGGAGTTGACCAATATTATCTTATTGTTAATTACATGTATATATTATATATCAGGATGACACAATTGAGGCATCTCAATGTATGTGCCTGGTGCCAGCATGATGGTAGCCCATGAGCATGCTGAGAGCTATGCTGTATTGCTGTAGAACGCATTCAATCAGTTGTTGGCACTCTCTGATAAGCATTTTAAACAGCGCTATTTGAGCATCAGGTTGGAAGCTATGTAACCAGTGAGCAGAAATAATGTGAACATTAATTCATGGCATCCTTTGGGGAGACTGTCACAGTTTCTGGTATTGCTGACTGGCCTTTCAGTACAGGGTTTTTACAAGGTTGTCCCAGAGATGCCGCCATGCTAGTGCCCCCCTCCTTATGTCGGTCCAGGAATGGGCACCCTTTCCATTTGGTGTTGAGTCCTTTTCTGCAAGTACTTGATCACTCCATGTTCCTCAAGTTTGTGCAGTTTTTAATTGCTGATTTGTCATGATGAGACAATCAAGTTTTTGTGCTCACAGATCTTTGACACAGTGTGATGTCCACAACAGAATATTTCACTATGACACAATTCTTGTCTATGTGAGGCACAGAAAACATCAATCAACCCTTGTAGAAAGTTCTAAATCAGCCTTTCTGGCATTAGCACTAACTTTCTATTTAGTGTTGCTATCTGTCCTAAACATCCACTTATGGAAATGAACACAGTCTATTCCTCATGTCTATAATTATGAATATACCATGTGCTCTAATGGTGATATTGTATATTTGTATATTATGATTTTGCATTCTAGAGGCCATTATTCATGTAGAACTTGTAGTATCTACAGTAACTTTTTTTCTCAAATAATTAACTAAACTGGCTTTACAATGACCAAATCCTTTGGTACATACCTCTCTAGCTGAGGGTGTATGATCTGATCACTACCCACTCTTGAGAATGTGTTCATAAGGTACATTAACATAGGTCAATAAGGTTTGCCATGTGTTTCTCAACCTCTGCTACACCGAATACTGTCTCTTCTCTAGTCCTGATGACCATCTAGGTATGCATATGTCTAGTGTCCCTTCTTTGTGAGACCTCTCATGTGTACCTATTTACCAATCACAGAATTCCTTTCATTGTGAACATCAAGTGAGAGAACATACAAATCACCACCGTGCTGGCTGGAGCTGAGGGAGAACCAAGGGTATGGTCAATGCCCACACCTACTACCTCAGGTTACTCGTTCTACAAGCCAGAAGAAAATTGTCAAGAACTTTCTGGAATCCCAGGTTGAGGCAACACTTGAAAGGCCAAGGACAGGGGAACTCACCCCATTGCTATTGGCCATTATCAAGTAATCTCTCTTTAAACCATTTGATGCCCAGTGCTTGCCCTGGACTGGTACTTCAGTGGAAGCACTTAAGACATTATTGGGGATAGTGTTTGTTTCTTACACTAGAGAGGGGAAAGATTTTTGGCCAGATGGCTTGTTAGTCCTTCCATGCAGCTTATGGAAGCAAGGACGTCAGGCAGATTTACTGATGCATCCATCAGGGCTCACAAGGACCTCATGTCTGCTTCACTTACCTTGCCCAGAGCCATGCACACATGTGTGTCCTGTCTTGCAGCCAGTGAAGGCACACAGGATAAGTTAACTAATCACGGAATCAGACCAAGAGTGTAGAGGTGCACATCATTATGTCAACTATGCACTTCTAAAAGCATCGCAGATGAATACCACTGTATTTTTCATTGCAAAGCATTAGATACTTTGAGGAAAGAATATTTACCCTCCCATCTAACCTATTTTCCCAATGAAACAAAGTTCACGAAAATATTATCTGTAAAAACATCTCGAGACATAGTAAATCTATCAAAATATATCCTACATCTATCATCTCTTGTTAGAAAAAAATGTTAATATGTTGTTTACTGCCATCTTGAATTTAAATTTTTTTTTGTATATATGTTTACAATATATGCTCTTGTACCACCAAGGTGGTTTATGAGAATAAAGAATTGAATTGAATTGAATTAGGGTAAGCATTCTAGTCTTGTTTAGCTGTTGACTGTTGTATTGTTCCTACAGAACTTGCCTTTTGAAACATCTCATCGATAGTCAAAGCATAGTAGTATAAATAAAGTAATAGATGGAAATGACCTTTTACATGGTACCTGTACCATATTATCATTATTCCTGCCATGTCCAGAGCCAGGGGGATATGGTGTTCTGCAGTGCAAGACACCTGCAGACTTGTCACATCAGTCACATCAAACATAGTTGCACTCAAGCATCCAGTCTTGTTGGTACAAATATCCTCGGCATGGTATGTACCTTAAAGGGTTTGCTTTCTGTAAGGGAGTTCAGATAAGGTAATGGATGAGCTTACATTATCACACAAGAGGGAGTTATGATTGATTTCCTGTTCCATCATCAAGTGATAGATGATACTGAATGTGGAAATGGATGGCTACCATGTTTTCCTTGATGCATGACAAGAGCACCATTGTTGGCACTCTGGTGATCCAGTGCATGTTGCAACACCTCTACACACCTAACGCTATCACTATAACTATAACTGTCATCACTGTCACACTTTGTATGACCACCGTGGACATTGTCTGAGATGTTAGATGTCAGCATGATGGCATCATATATAGGGACCATGTTCAGCTGCATTGGGGGGCCCGCAGCTTCGGGGTAGTTTACAAAAGATCACCTGAATGTATGACCTTGCCTGAATCTTGGAAAGAGGCTCTTCATACCATGTGAGGAGCAACTGCCCAGCAGTTTATGTGGAGAGTGATATGTTGATGTGCTCTCTGTTACAGGGGATATTTTCACAAGTGTTTGATCTCCAGGCCAGTGACTTTGACAATGATGACACCTATAACAGAGAGGGGTGAGTGTAGACAGAGTGTACACAAGATCATGTATAGAATCCGACGACGAGTATAGTCTATCTGAAAATAAATGTGTTACCATAAATTCACTACTGGTTGTATCTTGATCTGTTGAAATGAGGATGTATTGTAATTATTAGCTTCATCAGTACTGGTGTCACAGCACTGGAAGAGAACAAAGAGCCTTCTTGATCTGACAAACGTGCCCATGATGATAACTAAGTTACACACTGTGTCATGTGTCATGCTGGTTGTTTCCAGGACATGTAGTGAATGTGATGATGTGACTATAATCACCAATATCAACATACAGGTCTTTTCTGACCAAAAATTACAAAAAATATTCAAGTACACATAACCGTGTAATCCATCCATACATGCTCTAGTTACATGCAGGTGACAACAGAACCAACGCATGTACATCATGGACAAACCAGCAAAATCTGTTGATATGATGTACAAGAAGTCAAAGTAAACAGCGAGCTCACTGTTTGAAATTGTTTCAGTCCACAGGAGCCCCGATTCCCTATCAATATAGGAATTACTGGATATGTAGCAACAACTGGGGAGGTGAGTGGTCTGGATGTTGTCAGACGTCTTGTGTGTCCCAGGACAGGTGTCATGAGGGAAATGTATACATCCCTAGTGCAGGTTGGGAGACTAAATATGAATATACCCAAATGGTAGGTATGTTATAACATCGCTTGAATTCCACATCAGTTCCAAGTCACATGAGATAAGTGAACTTCTTAAAAGGTTAAGAAGAACTCATAAGTAAACTAACTATGAGATGCGTGTCACCTCATGATGTAAGTGTGACCTTCTCACAATGGACATGATAACTACACACAGACAAAATGTCACCTCATGATGTAAGTGTGACCTTCTCACAATGGAAATGATAACTACACACAGACAAAATGTCACCTCATGATGTAAGTGTGACCTTCTCACAATGGAAATGATAACTACACACAGACAAAATGTCACCTCATGATGTAAGTGTGACCTTCTCACAATGGACATGATAACTACACACAGACAAAATGTCACCTCATGATGTAGGTGTCACCTTCTCACAATGGACATAACTACACACAGACAAAATGTCACCTCATGATGTAAGTGTGACCTTCTCACAATGGACATGATAACTACACACAGACAAAATGTCACCTCATGATGTAAGTGTGACCTTCTCACAATGGACATGATAACTACACACAGACAAAATGTCAGTTCATGATGTAAGTGTGACCTTCTCACAATGGACATGATAACTACACACAGACAAAATGTCACCTCATGATGTAAGTGTGACCTTCTCACAATGGACATGATAACTACACACAGACAAAATGTCACCTCATGATGTAGGTGTGACCTTCTCACAATGGACATGATAACTACACACAGACAAAATGTCACCTCATGATGTAAGTGTGACCTTCTCACAATGGACATGATAACTACACACAGACAAAATGTCACCTCATGATGTAAGTGTGACCTTCTCACAATGGACATGATAACTACACACAGACAAAATGTCACCTCATGATGTAGGTGTGACCTTCTCACAATGGACATGATAACTACACACAGACAAAATGTCACCTCATGATGTAAGTGTGACCTTCTCACAATGGACATGATAACTACACACAGACAAAATGTCACCTCATGATGTAGGTGTCACCTTCTCACAATGGACATGATAACTACACACAGACAAAATGTCACCCCATGATGTAGGTGTGACCTTCTCACAATGGACATGATAACTACACACAGACAAAATGTCACCTCATGATGTAGGTGTGACCTTCTCACAATGGACATGATAACTACACACAGACAAAATGTCACCCCATGATGTAAGTGTGACCTTCTCACAATGGACATGATAACTACACACAGACAAAATGTCACTTCATGATGTAAGTGTGACCTTCTCACAATGGACATGATAACTACACACAGACAAAATGTCACCTCATGATGTAGGTGTCACCTTCTCACAATGGACATGATAACTACACACAGACAAAATGTCACCTCATGATGTAAGGTGTGACCTTCTCACAATGGACATGATAACTACACACAGACAAAATGTCACCTCATGATGTAGGTGTCACCTTCTCACAATGGACATGATAACTACACACAGACAAAATGTCACTTCATGATGTAAGTGTGACCTTCTCACAATGGACATGATAACTACACACAGACAAAATGTCACCTCATGATGTAGGTGTGACCTTCTCACAATGGACATGATAACTACACACAGACAAAATGTCACCTCATGATGTAGGTGTGACCTTCTCACAATGGACATGATAACTACACACAGACAAAATGTCACCTCATGATGTAAGTGTGACCTTCTCACAATGGACATGATAACTACACACAGACAAAATGTCACCTCATGATGTAGGTGTGACCTTCTCACAATGGACATGATAACTACACACAGACAAAATGTCACCTCATGATGTAGGTGTGACCTTCTCACAATGGACATGATAACTACACACAGACAAAATGTCACCTCATGATGTAAGTGTGACCTTCTCACAATGGACATGATAACTACACACAGACAAAATGTCACCTCATGATGTAAGTGTGACCTTCTCACAATGGACATGATAACTACACACAGACAAAATGTCACCCCATGATGTAGGTGTGACCTTCTCACAATGGACATGATAACTACACACAGACAAAATGTCACCTCATGATGTAGGTGTGACCTTCTCACAATGGACATGATAACTACACACAGACAAAATGTCACCTCATGATGTAAGTGTGACCTTCTCACAATGGACATGATAACTACACACAGACAAAATGTCACCCCATGATGTAGGTGTGACCTTCTCACAATGGACATGATAACTACACACAGACAAAATGTCACCTCATGATGTAGGTGTGACCTTCTCACAATGGACATGATAACTACACACAGACAAAATGTCACCTCATGATGTAAGTGTGGACCTTCTCACAATGGACATGATAACTACACACAGACAAAATGTCACCTCATGATGTAAGTGTGACCTTCTCACAATGGACATGATAACTACACACAGACAAAATGTCACCTCATGATGTAAGTGTGACCTTCTCACAATGGACATGATAACTACACACAGACAAAATGTCACCTCATGATGTAAGTGCGGACCTTCTCACAATGGACATGATAACTACACACAGACAAAATGTCACCTCCATGATGTAGGTGTGACCTTCTCACAATGGACATGATAACTACACACAGACAAAAATGTCACCTCATGATGTAAGTGTGACCTTTCTCACAATGGACATGATAACTACACACAGACAAAATGTCACCTCATGATGTAGGTGTGACCTTCTCACAATGGACATGATAACTACACACAGACAAAATGTCACCTCATGATGTAGGTGTGACCTTCTCACAATGGACATGATAACTACACACAGACAAAATGTCACCTCATGATGTAAGTGACCTTCTCACAATGGACATGATAACTACACACAGACAAAATGTCACCTCATGATGTAAGTGTGACCTTCTCACAATGGACATGATAACTACACACAGACAAAATGTCACCCTCATGATGTAGGTGTGACCTTTCTCACAATGGACATGATAACTATGACACAGACAAAATGTCACCTCATGATGTAGGTGTGACCTTCTCACAATGGACATGATAACTACACACAGACAAAATGTCACCTCATGATGTAGGTGTGACCTTCTCACAATGGACATGATAACTACACACAGACAAAATGTCACCCCATGATGTAGGTGTCACCTTCTCACAATGGACATGATAACTACACACAGACAAAATGTCACCTCATGATGTAGGTGTGACCTTCTCACAATGGACATGATAACTACACAAAAATGTCACGACAAAATGTCACGGATATGATAATGATGATGTAAGTGTAGGGACCTTCCTACAATGGACATGATAACTACACACAGACAATCACAGACAAAATGTCACCTCATGATGTAAGTGTGACCTTCTCACAATGGACATGATAACTACACACAGACAAAATGTCACCTCATGATGTAAGTGTGACCTTCTCACAATGGACATGATAACTACACACAGACAAAATGTCACCTCATGATGTAGGTGTGACCTTCTCACAATGGACATGATAACTACACACAGACAAAATGTCACCTCATGATGTAGGTGTGACCTTCTCACAATGGACATGATAACTACACAGACAAAATGTCACCTCATGATATAAGTGTGACCTTCTCACAATGGACATGATAACTACACACAGACAAAATGTCACCCCATGATGTAGGTGTCACCTTCTCACAATGGACATGATAACTACACACAGACAAAATGTCACCTCATGATGTAAGTGTGACCTTCTCACAATGGACATGATAACTACACACAGACAAAATGTCACCTCATGATGTAAGTGTGACCTTCTCACAATGGACATGATAACTACACACAGACAAAATGTCACCCCATGATGTAAGTGTGACCTTCCTCACAATGGACATGATAACTACACACAGACAAAATGTCACCTCATGATGTAAGTGTGACCTCACAATGGACATGATAACTACACACAGACAAAATGTCACCTCATGATGTAAGTGTGACCTTCTCACAATGGACATGATAACTACACACAGACAAAATGTCACCTCATGATGTAAGTGTGACCTTCTCACAATGGACATGATAACTACACACAGACAAAATGTCACCTCATGATGTAAGTGTGACCTTCTCACAATGGACATAACTACACACACAGACAAAATGTCACCCCATGATGTAAGGTGCGGACCTTCTCACAATGACACAGTAACTACACACAGACAAAATGTCACCTCATGATGTAGGGTGTGACCTTCTCACAATGGACATGATAACTACACACAGACAAAATGTCACCTCATGATGTAAGTGTGACCTTCTCACAATGGACATGATAACTACACACAGACAAAATGTCACCTCATGATGTAAGTGTGACCTTCTCACAACGGACATGATAACTACACACAGACAAAATGTCACCTCATGATGTAGTGGGACCTTCTCACAATGGACATGATAACTACACACAGACAAAATGTCACCTCATGATGCTAACACGCAATTCCGAAAACGAAGTACTTATG